AGATTTTCGTCGAAGCGTAACACCGGTCGGAATACATGGAGTATGCGGCCCTGGGAGCGCACTTATGGTACACGTAGGTGAATGTCGGGAGAGAAATCATACCGGCAAGGACGGCGACGAGCGAGAGGCAGAGGGTGAACGAGAAAGAAACGACGAGGGAAAGAGAGACAAACCACGCCCGACTCATCCCGACTTTCTAGAAACCGAAAACTGGATCGTGGCCGGCGGCTCTCCTGTGGATCTCGGTCGATCTCTGGCAACTGACAGCCGCGGAGCTTGATTCACGTAACAGATGTCAGTCTTTAAAGATCGTGTGCCCCGCCTCTCCTTCTTCTTATTTCGACCGTCGTTCCCCGGAACCAGCTACCGTTTCCCGCGGACATTACTCACGAAGTCGCTCGGAGAAACTCCACCTTTCGGGAGATAAACTCCGCTGCCTTGCCTCGGACTCGCTCGAGGGAAACGAAATTCCGAGAAGAACGAATCCTCGCTTGCGATTAAATTACCGGAAATCTCTGAAGGAAGCCTCGCCCTGATTAAGTCGCAACAATCTCGTTGAACGAAACATTGGGATTACGGGCAAACATCCCGATTGTAAAAAAAAAAATCTTTATTCTTGCGTTATCTTGCGTTGTGGCCTTGTTGTTCTTCCTCCCTCCCTTCTACAGGAAAAATTTGATTAGCGAGTTTCTCCGGTTGACTGACTCGGATGGGAACAAGGGAAAGTACGATATGTAAATCGAACTTAATCAACGACATCTAGACGAATGACGCCTATATCTCCCTAGTGCCTATCGGCTCTGTTCGTGACGAGAGTGGATGCGATTCGCAGTGGTGAAGAGAGGAAAGCAACGGGACACGTCCAGCCACACACTATCTTTTATCGTTGGAATTCGAAATTAGCAGCTTTCTCGCTGTTCATCGGCTAATTCCGGTAATAAAGGCTACAGTGTCATTAAAGAAGCTCGAGAGAACCGTTTCCCCGGCGAGGAATTTATCTCGGCTTTTTGCACGCAACGACTGGGTTAACGACTCGCGAACGAAACCGTTCGGCCGTTCCGGATCATCGAGCATCGTCCGGGACGAATCGACGCTTCCGAACCGTCCTTTCGGTGTACTTTCGATTCCAACCGGACATCGAACGGCAGCCCTGGCAGCGTTTTCTACGATAAATACGTTGTAATTAACGCTTTTCACTATTATCGTTCGTGAGGAGCTTTTTGCTCCTGCTCCTTTTATGCCGGAACAGGGTTCTTGCACCGTCGCCAACTCCTCCTCCTTCTCCCTTCGCCCCTCCGCCTCGTTCCACTTGCCTCGTCACCAACCCTGTCGCCAGTGGATTTCTCTTTCGTTGGAACCGGACAACCAGCTGAGGATTAGCTTCTTCGGTAACTGGATCAACTCGCGTGAAACGAGTCACCGGCTGTGAAAGGATTCCTCGATTTCTCAAATTAACGAGAGCTTCCTTCATTTTACGGTGCGTTTAGATCCAACGGGCTTGTTCGCTCTCTGTTTCTATCAAATTCATGTGTTAATACGTTGATTGCTACGCTGGTCATAGGCAAAATAGAGTTTCTGTATTTTATAAATATTTTGGACTGAAATAAAGTGAACATCACCGACACAATAAGTATTTAATTGACCATTAAATAACGTGTTAAATTACGTATTAAATATTTAATAACAAAAAATACTTAATACGGATAACCACTAGATGATAACATGGATAACTAGTTAATATAATATAAAATGAAATGAAAAATGCTCTTACATTGAACTTTTGTTGTAAAGTAATATCTTAAAAAACAAAGCGTTTCGTTCATAGACGAAATGTATAAATTTCGCGTAATAGTTAACGATAGTTTAACAGCTGACAGTGTTAATATAATAAATGAGTGCGAATTTACCATTCGTTCTCTATTTCGACTAAATATTGTTTACGTTTCTATTCGTGTCGTCTATTATGTTGTTACAGATGAACACATGAATTCAATCAAGATGGAAGGCGAAAGAACATTCGTTTGTCTAGTCTAAACGTGCTATAACAATTTGATTTCCATTTAATAAAGCGAACGAGAATTGCAAATGAAACACGCGAATTTCATACGGAACGTTACAAGCTGTGTGTGTACATGTATGTGTGTGTCGCCAGTGACTTCAACGCGCGCATAAACAACGATTTACCCGGTGATTTCAATGCCAGATAGAGGAACAATTATGTGACAGCTTGTCCTGCAGCACGTATCATGTAATTTTCTTGCAATCTCTGTTAGACAAACAATGATTTCCGGCTGCATTTTGAATCCATCTAAATATAATTGGATTATAAAATCATAATTTTAAAAACAAAGCGATTCTTTTAATTGCAAATATTTTGTTTCAGTTTATTTTGTTTGAGTTTATTTTTACGTTTAGTTTGTTTAATCATTTTCGCATGTATAAGTATTTTCATTACATAAATGAATCTATTAAAAGATCTGTTTCATAAAATGTCCGCTGATTGGAATCGATAACTCGTGTTTTAAACTAGTTCTCTTTTGTACGTAGCATGTTATTCGTTTTAAAGCTCTGTTGTTTCTTCGACATTATTTTATTTTACTGTTTCGATGAATGATTTTTCGATAAAACGATAGAATCTATTGTAATATCTATTGTCACTTACGCTATAATCCTATTCTGTATGATTTTTTTCGTGAAAAAGTGCAAAAATTTGTTCGTCAAAATAAAAATGACTACATAGGGAAATAAAACGATATTGAAAAAAACAATAAAACTTTCTTTTAACTTTAAAATAACATACAGAATGAAGTATGTTTTTAAGACATTTATTCTAACAATTTTGCGTTATTCTTTACCATAAAAAAGAAATCTTTCTGAGTTATCAAATATTTGTTATACGAAATTAAAAACTGTAATATATAATTGTAATAATATTACAATTGTAATATACAATATACTTCATATACTTTATCGTGCTCAATAATTTATTTTAATATCATCAATATGTAAAAACGCGAACAATTCGAAAGATCGAAAGATTAATTTCTACGGTTCTTAAAATCGTTGCTATCGTCACCTAGGTACATTTATCACGATATGATTGATGCATTTGACGCGTATGGGATTAATTCGTCTGACAGAAACGAAATCCTTTCTAAATTGCACCAGTGATATAATATCTCTTTGGTTTTAAATTTGCTCTTTGCAGCAAGAAAATACGAGAATCGGCTGATAAATAATGTATAACGTTCAATTATTTTAATAACGACAGGAGGTATTTATACAAAAAAAAAAAA